CCCCCCCCCCCCCCCCCCCCCCGTTCACCCGAAACAATTCTGGCCAAGGCCTGATGCCCCTTCTTGTTTCCGAAACGGACATCTCATCTCTGAACGACTTTCCCAAAATTAGGGAAAAGAAAAACCTGTGCAACCCAGCCAAGTAGATTGTCTCGGAATGGTAGCAGATGGCGCCCGCCACCGGTACGAGCGCGTGAACGCGTCCTTATGGACGCGGGTGAGCTTGTCACGCTTCGAAGTATCTATGAATAGACTATTATTCGACGTTCGTGCGCTACATACCACCACACATGAAGATGCCAGGCACAAAGGTATTCCCGTCTGTCCACACGCGACTATTCTTACCCGACCACAGCATTTCGGCAACGTTTTCCTGTCCCCTGGACCCGTTAACTTGGCGAGCAATTATCCTTTGCTTTATGCGAGGAACGGATCGCGAGGAAAATACGACTGCCATACGCCCCCCTCCCACAGCATCCACGCTACGCACACCACAACACGATTTCTAGAGCTAACCGATGACAACCTTGAGCAAGGATATCACGCCCTACACGCGGGCTTCATCAGTCTGTATACATTCTACGGAGTAGACAGCAGTATCTCGTGTGTACTATATGCTACTCCGTTCAAACTGTTTCGTCGAGATCGTCTCGCCACCCTCCTCTCTCCTCCTCTCTTACGAAAAAATAAGTCATCCCCCTGGACCGGCACCACCCCAATCCCGACTCTTCTCTATCCACACACACACGGCGATATTGCACTGCAAAGGTTGCCTACATCTAAGTATACCCCACTCCCGTACCCTCCGCCCCCCGAATCGAAAACTCCGAAACCCGAATGTCATTTAACACCGGTGGTTAACTCTCTTTCTTCAAACTCTGGTATAAACTCATTTTCCGAGTACGATCTAGACTGCCGTCAAGTGGACGAGTAAGTACATAAGAAGGACGTGGTTGACACACAACTAAAAGAAAGGCAACCCAACGCTGAATACATTATTATTATTTGGCAAGTGACCATCAGCAAAGCTCGACTCGGAAATTATCAAACACATTACTTTGCATACACGACACAGAAACAACAATCATCTTACTTGGCGTAAATCCCCAGGAGGACAGACTAATCGCGCTGAGAATCCTGAGAGGAAGGTACGCAGGTCTCCCTACTCGTCGAAGACTTACCGATGAGACCTCAACACAAATCACTGCATGCGCGTGACGACGATCAGCCCCCTGCAGCCGAGCGCAATCGACATGCTTGCCAGGCATGACGCGCCTCCGCACATCACGTTCAGTTCCACAACTGTGCCGCTCCCCACAGCCACCGCCGCGGCAGGTGCCGCCGCCTCCGCCCCCGCACCCCCAACGCCTCCCCCCTCAATGCCACCGCCACCACCACCGTCACGGCTGTTGCCACTTTTACCACCGCTGGTTGGGTTAGGGCCCAACACTGCAAGCAGTGCCGTCGTCAGCACTCCCCAGTCATCCGGGTCGACGACGGTTTTGAGGGGCTTTCCGAGGAGATATTCGGAGGGGAGCTGAAACTTGAGGTTCAAGCTCTTGCTGACGAAGCTGCGTGCGGGCCGAGGTATGCACAATATACGATTCACGAGTGAGTTTGTGCGGGAGAGGGCCGGGGAATGGAGTTATGCAATGCTTGTAAAAGACTTCCGAGCATGAGATGCATACACAAATTTCCTTTTGAGAGGCATCATGGCCGTTTCCTTCTCCTAGAACAGACGCCTGGAGGTAGGGATAAGAATTCTTGGGGGAGATCGGGAGGCCCACAGCCTGACGTGTATGCGCGGGGAGCTGCTGATCGAACCTGTCGAACCTGTCGATCATAATGCAGCATATATATTCACCCACCCAGCTGTTTCAATAGTCAGACATGAATGCACAGGCTGCTTTTTGGGAACGAATCACGCCTACTGTATCGTTTCTTCCGCTTTCTTCGTGCTACCACCTTTCCGCCGGGGATGAAAGTGTTTGTAATGCTGTATCTAATATGTAGTGCGCGAAGCGTGCCCATCACGTCGCATCCCGCCACGGAGGGGAGGGGACACGGGGGTGGGGGGCCGTTTGGGTGCTTGCCGACGTGTTGCCATCGGACATCGACCTTCGGGTATGCACTCCTTTCGGCCGGGGGTACTAATTTCTCCGATGATACGTACGACAAGAACGTTCTTGACAGCAATGTTGGTGCTTACTTTTCTTGGCACAAATATTTGGCAATCTCTCTCGTCCAATGGCCAAAGAGGGCCTCCTCGCGCAGATGCAATCAATCGCTCTTCAGAGTCTTCCGGCGAATTGATTGAATGGATCTTCAACCAATCGATCGGCAGCATGCACACGCACGGATACCCACAGGCACGCCGTGTTTGCTACCTTTTTCTCTATGTACCTGAACGGAGCATCCAAGGTCGTGCCATGTAAGGAGAATAAATCCGGGCCATTCTCCACGATGTCCCGGTATACCTCCAAGACGTCCTCCTCCTGCTCATCGTACACGTTTGCCTTCGAGTACCAGAGAGGCAGTTTTGACGAAAGGAGGAGGAACAAACACAGCAGAGAGCAGCAGCAGTCGTCAATTGAACTCTCTGAAACGCTTAGTTGGGCACACTCGAGGAGAATTAATTATTCTTCACCTCCCCCCCCTTGTACAGCAGAAGATAAACCTCTGAAGTCTATACAGTAGATGCGCCAACGGAAAATCCGGACACACACTATGCTGCTGAACTCCCCCCCCGACAGCACAACGTTGCAAATTGACATCGACTTCGATTGCGTCGTGGACAGACAGGTAGTAGCGACCGAGAGAGAAGAAAAAGAACCAAGTTGAAGGAGCATGACGATTGATTGCAAATAAATGGGCAGGGCAAGATGAAGAGAGGAGGCTTGCTGCACACACTGCGGGTGCTTGGAGAACAAACATACATGCCGTAGTACAAACGGTTATTAGTAGAGAGAGAGAGAAAAGGTGCTGTAATACTTCTTGAAAGCACTTTCTTTCGTGCGAGCAAGTGAGAAAATCAGCGAAAGAAACTTCACACACACCCCCGAAACAACTACCAGCTGCTGCTGTTGTTGCTGCTGCTGCTGCACTCTGTTGTGTGCGTATGCGTATGTGCTATGCATGCTACAGCAGTACAACAGCAGTACACCGGAGTTGGAACTGCGCCCCTTGTCACTCATCATTACCCATCGGGCAAACACCGAACACAGCGTGGCACGGATTCGCTCGATCGACTGCTGTCATGTCGTCGTCGGTGATAATGTTTCGTTCGCCCTCCCATCATCAGGTGGGCGCTGTCGAAAACAATCCCTGGCGGACGGTACAACAAAACGCTCGAGACTGACGATAGATAGGCTGTCGACGATCTGCACATCCAGTCACACACCACTCACCATGATGATGAAAAAAGACAGATAGATATGCTGGTCGACGGACCTCTTCGGTCTCCGTCGTGCCTGCTGATAGATACCGGGGGCTAGCTCGTTCGGCTGGGGCACAACCTCTGAAACTGTACGCAGGGGCGGGGGGCAGCTGCAAGAAGCGGGTAGGCATTCTCTTTGCGGTGGATGTTCATATCGATTCTTTCTAGGTATTGCGCGTCAGCGTACAGTTTGTTTGTGCGGTTGGTATCTTTCTGGCTTGGGGGCCTGGCAGCTGTTTTGGCACATGACGGCAACGTCAGTCAAAGTAAAATATCGCCAACACGCAAGAAACATGAGCATATGCATGCACATTCACACATTTTGGTGAGGCTACGCCGTTGCGTGGTTGCTTGCGCCTCTCTGACTGAGCGCGTTTGCGCCGAAGTTTCGTCTATATACATAGCTCTCTGCTGCGTCAAGTTGGCTCTGGAGCTATGTGTAACGGAAATTACGAAATTTCCATTGTAGGTCCGTTGGAAACGCATGCAGATCAATCACAGCAAAGATTTTTTTTTGTTTTCTTCAGAAAAGAATCCGTGCTCCAGCAGCACAACAACCGTGGTCACACAGAGGGATTCCTCTCCCTTTGAGGTGCTTTGCCTTCGATTTTGAATAAGAGAAGAGTGTAGCATCTTCTTCCCTTTTGTGTACATACGAACTTCTGCAGCGCTTTTTCCACCCAGGCCAGGAACGGAAGCGAGAGAAAAACTCACGGATCATGATGTCCAACCACCTGCTGTTCCTCCGTACAGCAGTTCTGTTCGCGGTTCGCGGTGTCTTCCGAGATACACGGTCCATTGGACATCTTCAACATGTCAGTCGCATCAACCGCCAGCTGCCATGACAGCTGCCTGACGCTACGTCAGCGCTGCCAGCACGCTGCTTCAGACTGGTTCTACGTCAGCGCTGGAGCGTTGTTGTTGTTGTGCTGTCTGTGCACGCCCCGCTCTGTCGCTTCCATCTATGTTCCCCTCTGTTCCAGAGATCCGTCGCCTCTTCCTAAGAGAACTGTTCTGTCCCCTGATACCTCACGGTCCCCACCCACTGCTTCGGAGAGACCGCCTGTTCACCCGATCACCTGACGGCTGAGGGATGAACGGCTCATCAACACCTGAGACGCATCGCTGAGTGGTCGGGGGATTTCACACTTGCTATTGTTGTTGTTGTTGTTGTTGTTGTTGTTGTTGTCTTCACATTAAAAACCATTCCGATCTCTCTCTACCCAGTACCTTCGTATGTCCGTACTGATCCAACACTCGACGCGAAAGATTGACCGACGAAGTAAGGGAAATCTGCGTTTTGTGAGAAGCGGCAGAAATAAACCGCTGGCCAATAAGAAAGCAGGAAGTGGACGAGTGTGTTGATTCCTGTTTTCAGTATAATACTCGCTTCGCCGTGTTTACCGCGGGCGAGCGAGAGCACGTGTGTGTGCTTGTGGTGGCCAAGGGTTGTTTCTGCCGTGACGTTTCTGGGGGGGGGCAGACAGAGTTTATATGTTTCTGTCCGTTGGGTGGCTGATGTTTATACTGATCGTAAGGAGTAGACCGGGGGCGTGTAGTGTGTGGTGTGTTGCCCTGCCTGGTCTTCGCTCTTTTCCCCTCCCCCTTGGCGAGCAAAGGGGGTACGCAAAATAATGACAAATTTCGAAAGCATCGAGAAAAGCGGTCGATTCCCGTGGTCACAGGTTAACTTACCCTAAAAAGGTACACTCAAATAAACTGGCCCCGAGGGGTCCGCAAGTCAATAGAAATCAACGACAGATATTCTGGGATCCTCCGCTCCCTCTTCACGCTATGCGGGGTATCAACTGAGATTAGCAGTCACTATCTATCATGGGCCGGAGAGAAAGAGGCACACTCCCTTGGTTCAATCTTGGTACTTCACAACGCAAGCAGAGACAAGCCCATCTGGCACAGAAAAAGAGAGAAAAAAAAGAGAGAAAAAAAAGGACAAAGAGAAAAAAAAAAAAGGAGAAAAAATAAAAATGGAAACCGTAAGGAGAAGAGAAAATAAATGAAAATAAAATGAAAAAATGAAAAAAAAAAAAGGGCGAGGACAAAGAGGGACCAGGCCGAAAATAACAGGAAGTATGAGGCAGAACAAGGCACACGGTGGAGAGACCACTAACGAACAAGCAAACACGCAAACAAACATGGCCACCAACCAGCGATACATTGTAGTGGTACGAAATCACTACTAGTGGGGGGTTGGTGCAATATGGTGCTATTAGAGTAGGGTGGAACGTTCCGAACCGTTCCGAAGTGTGGCCCTCGACTCGCGCAAGTCACTGGTTCGAGTCCGGCCTGGGGCTCTTTTTTTTCCCAAGCCCTCTTTTTCTCCGACCCCTCAAGTTACCCTACAGTAGACTCCTGGAAGTCAGGGGTTCGAGTTGTGTGGAGGTGTTTTTTTTTTCCGATGCTTCTTTTTTTAGGAGGTGGTCGTCATGCGCATTGTTGCGTCTATGTTAGTGTTGTACGTTACATGCGATATGTTTAGCCATACTTTAGCCATGGTGTATTGTTGCATGAACTTTTCAAGTGGAACCCCCGAACATCAACCGAAAATCAACAGAAGAGTCGAAAAATTCAATCACTTGAAGAGAACAGACTTCAAAACACGGCATGCACGGACAAGGCGACGAGAACGCTGCATCTACCCAGAGCTGTCTACCCACGTCTACCCATTTTTTCTACACTGGCTCTACACACGCTACTTTAAAGGTCGAATCCAACCCGTCCTCCCAAAAAACGAAAAAAAAACTTACACAACACGCAATGCACGCAACGAAATACGCCAATATCGACTAATTCACGGGTCGGGCATGGTTCGCTTGTCTGCCGTACACAACCTGTCAGCAGAACGTCAAGTTCTGGCGCTCTGATATTCATGGCAGCCTATGTGCCCTGCCCTGCAAACTACGCTACATCCAAAAGGCATTTACATAGCAGCAGTTCCTAGTCTCCATTCGTAACCCTCTCCCTGCTCGGCCCTGCCCTGCCCGCCACGCCCTGCCCACCACTGCAGTGTCAATGCTTCCGCAACGACACCCTCTCCCCCCCCTCCTACCCTCCCCCCCCCCCCCCTACTTCGGCCATCCAAACCCACCCTTCCCTCTCATCGCCCCTGACTCTCCCTCCCTGCTTCCCTCCCTCCCTTCCCCGATGGGGCTACCGGCAAGGGGCAGCAGCTTGGTCAAACGCCTAAGAAATTGCGGATGGCTGTATCGGTTTTGGCTTTGACGGGGGTGGCAGGGGGAGGAAACCATCAGCGGTGTACTCGTCGAAATGGCCAAGGACGGGTCCATCGTCGCTGGCTTGAAATCGCGCAGCATCGGTTGACAGAAGACACGAACACAGGGGGTGGGAAAGGCGTGCGAGCGAATGAGTGGCCGGAGACAGCGTAATGTTATTGGGGTCACAGTACGCCGCAGAGATAAATGGCCAAGCGCAACGACAACCCAAGCGAATCAGCAAAACGTCCACTCAACACGAGGCAGGTCTTGTTTGTTGAGCTACGCCAGTGAGCTACACCAGTGAGCTTGGGGCTCTGCTCCATGTTGCGGTACGAGTGGAACACGCCCCCTTGCATCCCGTCCCGCCCGCAAGCGTGAAAAGCAAGGCTAGAGAGAAACCAGCAGTAGTGCTGCTCACCTTCGCTGGAGCTCCATCGACGGTAATCTCCGGAGAATGACCTGTGTTGTCTGTCTCCCAGGACGTTTGTTCACACACACCGTCTTCGCCCTCGGCCCTCGCCCAAGTAAAAGTACATGTTCCAGTCGCCGGTATGACCTGGCACGTTCTCGTTCACCACGCCTTGTCGCCGCACGTTGGCACCTTCGAACACCACGCAGAGGCGAAACAGATAAGTGTCCGTCCGGCCAAAAAATTCATAGCAGGGTTTGGTGTGTTGTTGGTGTAATGGTTTCGGAGTAAGACATACTGGCGTATTAACTCGCTTCGCTCGCAGACACTTCACGGGGTTTCGGGCGCGGTCCAGTGTGCGGTCACAGTGCCGTGTGACTCGCTTCGCTCGAAGGCACTTCACGGGGTTTCGGGCGCGGTGCAATGTGCGGTCACAGCGCCGCGTGACTCGATTCGCTCGAAGGCACGTAACGGGGATTCGAGCGTCGTGCAGTGTGCGTCACAGGAGTGCCGTGTTGCTCGCATGTACTCAAAGGCAGTTCATGCGCAGCAGCAGCAGCAGCGTCGTCATGTTCCCCCTCTCGAGGAGTTCCTTATGTGCTTCGTCACACACCGGTGTGCCTCTCTTCTCTCCGTTCGTAGCCGCTTGGCTATTATATTGCACAAGATGATTATTCGACCGCTCAGCAAGAAAGTGCATACTCCCCCTCGACACGCGTTGCCCCACCCAAACCATTGTACAGAACTCCAGGCCACACACCCGCCCACCCGTCTGGGGCTTCGTATGACCGTCTTTCGTCCCACAGTGTAGTGTATACGCAACTCTCCTACCCCTCACGTTAACCGTAACAGTGGCCGGTGCCTTTTGTCGCATGTCGGCTAGATAGAGCGTTGATGGCATCGATGGGCGGTTGGAACGCCTCCTTGAGGAAATCTCTTGCTAACTCTCTGTCCTGCAAGACATCGTCTGGTAACACGAGGAACAGGCCGTCGAGAGTTTCCCCCCTGGACACGGCGGTGTACCCCTGACCCCGGGCGAAGAACCCTCTATCTAGAAGGAATCCACACGGCCACCCTTTCGAACCCTACCCCTTGCACTCTGTGCATACATACCCGGGCAGCGGTACATGAAGTCGGCTACGCACGAGCGTCGACGGCAGCAGCGAGCCGGGCAGGAGTAGTGTTGCCGTCCGTTTAATGAACATTATGTAATTAGGGGGTATGTATGTATGAAGTTGTCCCGTGCCCCACAGCAGCAGCAGTTAGTTTGAGAGTCACAGCGTGTTGAATTCGAGCACGAGACAGAGATACAGCAGTAGAGCAGAGAGTACGAGCCAAGAGAGACGTGCAGCAACTGCTGTGATGACGATTCAGCATGTTACGCGTGCGCGCAGATGTGTGGTTGTACCTGTTGATACACACGCTTGGAGGAGAGGGTTGTACATCGACGCTGCTCTACTGCGGTTCGTAACCGAGAAGAAGCACAGCAGCAGAAGGTAGAGAGCTGCTACGAACGTTATACAGTGGTTGCTGCGCGGGCAACCCCGTGGTACTGCTGTATAGCTCATGGCATAGCAACCGTCTGCGTTGGTTACAGTAGCAGACATGCAGCCCAGCAGCAGCAGATGGGTTGCCTGCTGTGCTTCTATATGCAAGTAAGTGCTGAGCCTGCTGTGTGGTGTGAAGTACTTAAATAGTTTGGCGTTTTGGTTTTCCGGGGACGCGCCTCCCGCAGCCCAGGGCACAAAGAAGTGAGGCCGGAACGAGATATATGTCCGGAGGTGTCGCGACCCCCCCCCCCCCCCTGGTTTAAGAATTTGTAGATACAGGGTATGCAGCTGTTCCGTGCCCCAGGAGGAAGATGAGTTCAAGCACAAAGCAGAAAGAGAGACAGAGAGAGATGCGTGCAGCAACTAACTGGTGGTGTGATGACGAGATGCCTTCTGTAACGTGTGCGCCTATGTTGTGTGGTTGTACCTGTTGATGCCCATGGGTGGAGGCGAGGGTAGATCGACGCTGCTCTGCGGTTCCTAACGGAGAAGCACACACACAGCTCTGTAAGATACAAACGTGTGCACCAGACCAGCAGATTTAGTACCTGTGAATGTGTGTGCCTATGATGCGTGGTTGTACGTGCTAGCCGTTGTACGCTATACTGCTGTACATTACATGTAGTCACACAGCAGTCTACTGCTGTTGTATGCTGTCGTTTGGTTGGTCCACACCGCACGTGTAGTAGTCTGCTAGGTCACAACACGAGTGCCGGGGGGGGGTAAACCCCCCCCCGGACCCCCCCCAGCGTGGTTTGCTGGGTTCACCACACGCATAGTATGCTTGGTCCACCGCACGCGTTGTCTGCTGGGTCACAATACGAGTGCCGGGGAGGGGTAAACCCCCCTCCGGACCCCCCCCAGCGTGGTTTGCTGGGTTCACCACACGCGTAGCATGCTTGGTCCACCGCACGCGTTGTCTGCTGGGTCGCAATACGAGTGCCGGGGGGGGGTAAACCCCCCCCCTCGAGCCAGCGCGTGGTCTGCTAAGTCATTATATATGTACTTAATTTTTAAAAAACGTGGAAAACAACACACGACGCTAGGCTTGCGTATTTGGTCTCAACCTACTGCTGTCGGCACGCTTGCTTGCGTGTGCACTGCTGTCGCCACGCCTGTTTGCGTGTGTCTCAAGGCATTCTGCTGTCACCACTTTGCGTATGTGGTCTCAACCTATTGCTGTCGCCACGACTTGCGTATGTGATCTTAAACCTACCGCTGTAGCCACGGGAAAGCTTGCGTGTGTCTCAAGGTATTTTGCTGTCACCACGACATTCCCTTGCGCATGTGGTCTCAACCTACTGCTATTGCTGTAGCCATGGGAAAGCTTGCGTATGTCTCAACCTACTGCTGTAGCCACGCTTGCTTGCTCGCTTGCGTGTGTCTCAAGGTACACTGCTGTCGCCGTGCTTACGCGTGTCTCAACTCTCAAGGACCTGTCTCAAGGACCTGCTGTAACCGCCTGTCCCGAGCGGTGTCACCCTATGCGCAAAAATATGGTGCAGGCGCAACGACTACAGCACCGCGTAGACACACAATATCTTAGCCAATTACCAGCGGCTCTAACACGAGACGGGGACGCGAGAGAAAGTGGGCTGGGAGGAGATGGGAGGAGAAGAGGCAACACAACGACTGCTGCTGCTGTAGGCTTAACCTTCCAGTCCTGTCGGTGCTCCAAAATCGACGACGGTGTAGCGCTGACTACTGCTGCCGTACACATCACACGAATCCACTCACCTCAGCAGCAACATCGGCGACCATGCCGATGACCAGGGAACCGCCAGGACACCACTGAGAAGCTTTACAGCACACAACCCTCCCCTACACGTCCCGCCTGCTCTCCACTCGCGCTGGCGTTGGGCCTCTCGTCCGTGCATCTCGTACGCAGCAACGCCAGCGATTGGGCCCAGCTGCGAGCTTCGCATCATGCCCTGAGGTGTGCATCAAGGCTGACAGAGGAAGCCACGTGTGGCAGCGTAGCAGCTAGCGTTAGACGCTGGAACGCTGCACCGCAACGGCTGCCGGCTGCCGGCTGTAATCTCGCCGCATTTTTTGGTCGGCGGGATTTCCGTAGGTGAGCAAACAGCAGCCTAGGAATTAATATAGAGCTCCCGACAATCCGGAGTAAGGACCAAATCCCCCGAGTATCCTGATTGGGTCCTCCGAGACGCATGAGGGCCTGAGAAGGTCAGGGGTATTTGGGTGGGTTGGCTCGTTGAACAAAATAAGAAGGGGTTCCGCCATCGTAGCCAGCGACGTATGAGGTGAAGAGTTATTCGGAGATTCGCTTCTTACGCGCGTCCCCCGGTTGGCTGCCAAAGGTTGCCCCACATTTACATGCCAACGTACCGTGTTTTCACGCGCTCGTAAGCCGAAAGGGTCGCGTACGCAAGACTTGCTGGGAAAAGCATGAGGGTGTTCAAGAGCAAGGAGACCATGCTTGCGTGGGGGGTGGCTTGTGCAGCGATGGTGAGTGAGAGCCAGCACAGCACTCAAGAAGCTAATTCCGCCGCGTCCGCTATCTGTTATCTGTAGTCGGGAGCGAGTGGCACCGCCGCGGCGCACGCCGTTGTACCGCGTATACGAGTTTGCTGTTGTAGTGGACTCTCAGGGCGATGTTTGTTTGTGGCTTTGCCGAAAAAATGACGCACCGCGCCACGTTTTGTGGTACTGTATGCGGCAACAGCCGCGTGGAGGTGTCTGGTGCGGCTGCTGCAATCTGCAACAACAGCAGTTACAGCAGTAGTGGCCACTGCCGCTGTTGCCACGCCGCAGCGTCGGCAGCAGCCCATTGCACGCTTTCGCCGTTGTTTACAGAGTATCGAAAGTGGTTGCACCTATGCATGGACCCGCACTTTCTTTCGGTAACTCTCTTCCGGTAACTGCTGCAGGTGACACGGCGGCGATCATCTATGTAGTCTGTTCCCTCTCTAGAAAAAGTACATAAATGCGCACTCGGTGACGGAGTTTATGGGTCTCACAGATAGATGTAGTCTCAAATGAAAAGTGTAGACTGACATCGGCGCTGCCGCAGACTCGATGATCGACTCGATCACGATAGCTCTACCGGACATCACGGTGGGCCTCATTTTCTGTAGGCCGTCACATTCCAACGCTCTCCGTGCGTACTTCGCGAACACCCACACACCGGTATTGGTACACCGGTGGGAGTTCTGGGTTCCACAGTAGTACAGAACGCGCCACCACTTAAGAACTTAGCAGTTAAGAACTTGAGCCTAAAAAAAAAAAAAAACTAAGAACATGGCCATAAGAACATGTGCTCAGTTCTGACGTCGTATAAGAACTAGAACCCGCCTTCGTAGTGTACCAATGCTCACACAGATAAGAACGGAGCCCAAAACACGGGCGGCTGCAAGATAAGAACGCGAGATAAGGTGGCGGGGGTGACCCCAACAGCTGTTAGTTTCAGATTCGAGGGGTGGGGGGGGGGGAGGGGCACCCCGTGAAATATTCTTGCACGTGCCGAGGGAGGTGACCGATGATGTACACACAGTGTACCCCCCTCTACGAGGCATTTCGTGTGCTCGTGGTGCTGGGTGCGTTCCACGCTGCGTGTATGCTGATCACGCAATGGGTTGGGGCAGCCATGGAAATTCTCGACAGCTGCGAGGAGTACCGGTTTCGCCTTTTCGAGAAGTGCGGCATGGCGATGACTGTTGGCCGTTCGGGCGATGACCGAATCAACTTGGAGGGTTTGGACAAACCGTATACCTTCATGGGCGCCGAGGACTCCAGCGATGACGAGGGACCTCTAGAGCCTGGGGAGGGTGCGGGGGGAGGGGGTGACCAGAGGTTTGAGGGAGACGGAGACACCAGCAGGGAGGGCATGGAGGACGGCGGGTCCAGCGACGAAGACGATCACGGCAAGTTGGATGTTCACCAGACTCTTTGTATTTTGTCGTTGTTGTTGCCGTTGCTGTTGCTGTTGCTGGTGCTGGTGCTATTGTTGTTGTTGTTGCTGTTGTTATTATTGTTATTGTTACCGCTGTTGCTTCCATGGATGTTTCATGTTGAGGAAACTAACTTTCTGACGACGGTGATGTTACTGCGTGATTCAATGCCGATCTCTGCAGACACGGCCCGCGGCCAGAACGACGAGCTGAGTCTTCTGGACGAAGACGACACCATGGACCCGGCCCATGAGATTCACGGCATGCAGATTCCCGACGGTTTTCGCCTTCAAGTGGCTACTCCCCGTGTTCTTGATAATTCGTTACTGCAGCGTGGAGTACTAGTTAGGCTGAGCCTAGGTTGGTTCGGTGGGCTGATCACTCGGCAATCTCAGGAGCGTACCCGTCACCTTTACGACTACCGTGTGCATTTTGAGCTAGACCAAAGTACACACACGCAGCATGAAGCTGCCGTTGGAGAAGTACAGTGAAGATGCGGATGCGGTGGTAGGGTCGTGGGTTTTGCTGGAGGGGACACCGTAGAGGAGGGGGGAGATCCTACCATCGCAGAGCAGGGGAGAGATCCGGCCACAAGCAGTACACTCACAACAGGAGGAGTTACTAGAGCGGGGAGGACACGCACGCCCAACGTGACCCTTGTGGACCATTAAGCAGTTGAATGTTGCCCATGATACCTCTTCTTACGGCGATGCCGCGTCTGTCTGCCCTCTTCTACTTTACAGTGATCGCGGAAGCTGCAGTGCGTTCGATCCGGAGGTCCTGTTGAACGATAGTTTTCTGCTGGTGTCAAACACTCTACTTTCAAGTGTCACGTTGAAATCCATCCGCATTGACCTACTGTACGTCCTCTGCATGGAGTACAGTAGTCGGTGTAGAAATAAGAACAAGAACCACATTTATCGTAGGTGGATGCCTGCTCCAAATAAGAACTCGGCAAATAAGAACATGTGCTCGGTTTGGGGCAACCAATAAGCGTCGAGCCTCACGCAAAATAAGCGGTTCTTAAGTGGTGGCGCGTTCTGTAGTAGGAGTGCGAAGCCCTTGGAGGGTGTATGCATCACTATCTGCTAATACGCGTATGTACCGCCTGCCACTGTTTCCTGTAAGTGACACATGTTGCCTCACATCAGCAGCATGGAACAGCGCCTGAGCGCTAGCTGACCCTCTCCCTGTGCTTGCGCGTTTCGCGGGCAACATCTCTCCTCCCTGATCGTCGCAGGCCGCCTGGTCATACTACGACAACAAGAAAGGGAGCACCGCAAACGGCTTTGATGGCAGAGATGAATGGAACAAGAAGATCAAGGAGCAGGAAAAGCAAAGAAAACACTGAGGTTGTTGCCCGTGCAACCATCTCCTGCGTTACGAAGACTACGGGAGTGCAGAGCCCTAAATTATTGGCCATTGAGAGATCTTGGAACTCGATGTTTTCAGATTGGGAGGGGCAAGGCTGATTGGCTGTAGACCATCCCTTGCCGGCAGTTGGCTCACCTAGCCTCCCCCCCCTCCCAGGCTGGTGCAGACAATTGTCACTGTTACATTGCTGCACACATGTTGCTGCCCACCAAGTCGACCTATTGTTCGTCCATGAGAATTGCCGGAATTGCGCGAAAAAGAACAATTACCTTACAGGCGGGAAACCCTCAAGACACAAGCAAGAGAAGAGCAGTCCCAGATAGTTGTTTGGACCAGTTTTTTGGTGCGTTCTTCGCTCTGGCACCCTCGGCCCTGTTGTCACAGTGTTGGTGGCGGTCTTGCGTAGCCTGCCGTGTTTCCTTCAATTGCCACGCACGTACAGTCAATCGCACGTTTTGCGGGGTGCGCAATATTTGTGCGCCATGTACAAAAACGGAGAGAAGAGGGAATCGCCCTTGAAACAGACGTTGGGGAGATGAGACCTTGTAATGGCCACCTTCCGCAAACCCCTCCCCCTTTTTCCTTTTTCTGGCCCTTTTCTGGTTTGTGAAAAGAAAGAGCGAATCGTTCTTGACAGACGTTGTGGGGAGATGGGACCTTTCAAAAGCCCACCTCCACAGATACACTTGGTATACATTTCACTTCAGCAGAGATACAACCTAACCTTCGGCGTGGCACCGGGGCGAGTCTTGTTGGAATCTGAAACACTCAAGATGCTCACGGTCCAGGACCCACGCGGAGGTCGCGGAAGCAATGGTTAATATGGCCAAAGCAACTGCAACGTCAGCAATCTTTAGCTCACAAAACAACAGCCCACCACGCCGCTTGTTTAAGGCATCATCTGCCTTTTAATCTGCCATGAATTTGATGCAAGTGCTCGTGTGTTCGTCCTACAAATGCCAAAAAACGGACCGTTGATTTTCATCTACCCTTTTGCTGCCCTTGTTCCAAGGGACTGATTCGTTTATGACGCCTGTTCCATTACAGCACCAACGCCTCCTGCCCTCCACAGCCACCTCCCGACCTTCACCGAAGCCTCGACCTTCGAAGCAGTTGCATGTAACTCAAGGGTTTACACCTACGGACGACGACTCCTGTTGTCGAAAAGTCGATTGGTGGGGTCACGGAGATAACTATTTGCTTGAAACTTACAAGCAATCACCACGCACACGAAAACAAAACTCGAACAAACAACGAATATCACGATTCTACTGACGCCAGACTTGGGCGCGTGCCTATGCATAGGTTGGATAACTTCAAGAAAACACTACATGTACCTGTCGCGGGCGAAAGGAACACGTCAAGATAGCCCCAGTCGATTCCGAAGGGAACATCCACTATTTCAAACTTCCCTCGTAATACAAAACTAAAATGAATACCACGTGATTTTGAGGGGTCCGACCTTCATCTCGTGGTCATGAAATGACGCTGAATTTTTCGGGGGGAGGGCCGGCATGGCCACAGCTGTGACCCATGCCGCCAACTGGCGACAACTAAAAAAGCACAGCTTGCTCTGCCGGGGTCGCGCTTCAACCTATCAACCTATTTATCTCATCATGCCGGCGGGCGGAGACGCATTCCGCAGCAAGTCTTCGCGGTACTGCCCCTTCGTCTTGCTCATCTGTCTTCCTAGCACGAAAGACATCCCCAGCACCAGCAGCACGATAACGCCCCCGATCGCCTGCAGCACCACCGGCACGGCGATGGGCCTCGGGGAGAGGTCCACGTGCTCCTCGTAGCTGATGTCGTCGAACTTGTGAGTGGACTGGCACAGCGGTCCGACCCACCCCTCCTCGCACTTGCACTTTCCCCAGTGGCACCTCCCCCGGTGGCAGCCGGTCTCGTCGTTGCATTTCCCGCCGCCCACCATGAGATCTTTGAGGGGCTTCTTGTCTCCGGTTCTCATGTACCGGTACCTGTGAGCCTCGATGAACAGCTTGGACGGGTGGGAGGGGATGTCGCACCCGATGGACATGCTGCTGTCGTTCTTGTTTTGGTAAACACGCACCTGGGGAAACGGATATGCGAATTGACGGATGGACACACAGCCGTGGCACGGAAGCACGGTTGAGGACACGCAGGACGTGCTCTGCAGGCATTCGTGTGTTGGTCACGCCGCGCCGGAATTTACAAGACACGGATAAAAAAAAACAGAAAAAAAAAAAAACACACACACACACATCCCTGACAATGTACATCAACACAAACGACATGAAACGGGACTGGAACGCACGTCGGCAGAGGTACTTAGAAAACACACGACTGGAGGGTAGGTGCCTGCCGGTAAGAGCCATGTCTGCTTGATGACAGCGCACGGCTACGCGGACAATTTTGTCACTTGCTGAGGCGAACCTCACTAAATACTCCCTATTCCACCACACGAGACGCCCACATGAAGTTTTAATAAGGTTGCTGATCGTATGGAATAAATCCCGAGGGAAGTACCGTATGTTCCGAAACGAAGGATGCTAGACTTCCCCCGCAACTCTGACACGGCGGGGGGGGGGGGGTCGCGAAAAACAAAAAGAGTCAGGGGAGATATGAACGCGAGTGTTAACACCCAGCACATGAGACCACCTTGCTTCCGCATGTTCCCGTGTCGAGCCCGCGCGGCATCTACGAACATTCTCCCAAAACTCAAAACGAAAAAGAACAGCCGTTGGGGTGCCTATACATCCACCACTAAATGACGAAGAAACACTGCGCCCAGCCGGTTCATGAACGAAAGCGCAAAGTCTTGGCGGGCAAAAAGAGGGCAGAGCGCTTCCTACTCACAGGCTTCGCTGACAGGCGTGTTTTCCAATAAAAAGCATCTACAGTAGTGGCCACGGTTCAAGAGAAAATGTCCAAGAGAAAGTACGGGTTTAAGAGAGCGAAATTAGGTTGTCCCGACCAAATGGGTTTAAGATAGATTATCTCTTGAACCGGATTATAGCGAGAATTTCTCTATATTTCTGAGACTTAAATCATAAATCGAGCATCTGGAAACCACGTGGACATCACACATCACACATACACAGCTGCAGACACTATGCCCTGCGCAGCGGGTAGTCGATGCACAGCTGTCCCCGACAACACGCCAGAGGCTTGAAATGGATGGGGTTGGGGTTGTGAGTGTTGTGTGCAGGGGATGGGCGGGGTGGGAGTGGTTCAGCGGGTGAGTGAGTGGATTTCGCTTGGGTGCTGGTGCATCCGTAGGCTCGTGTTGTCCTTCTGGAAGAGGTGCGAGTAAAAAGCGCAGCTATTTACAACTCAACAAACTACAGAGTTCATCCACGTGCAAAAAATGTATCACACTACACCATGATTCATTTTTTCAACACAGGTGCCAACCCTACTTGGGTTAAATGTTCGCCAACCAACAGAATGTGCCGTGTTTGGAGCTAGCCCAAGGTGCTGACGCCTGCTGCGTTACGTGACATGAATGGTACGCTCTCCATGACCTCTTACGGCATACAGTTGGCACGAGGAGCGTCCATCTTTGACGGCCTTGCCGTTTTGCCCGATACAAGAGAACATTCTCTTAAAGCGACATATGGTTTACGAGAATGTTCTCTTACACAGTAGCAAAGACGGTGTACGAGAAAGCCGGATTTAAGAGAGGGAAACTGGCTTGTCCCGACCCTCTCTTAAACCGTAGCCGCGACTGTACCGCGGTATTCGGCTGAGCACTTTCATTTGCCCGCAGTGCTGTGTGTGGCACGTGATGTGGTTTCGCTGTCACTCATCCAATCCAACACTCAAGACCGGACAAAACGAGGAGTACGTTTACACGACAAGGGTTGGGGTATCCTGTCTAGTTCACGTGTGGGGGCCGGAGGGGGGTGGGTGGGTAGGAATGGGGCCGGTTCAAGCAAGGACGGCAAGCGAACCACCACGACATGAGGCAATGTTACCGACATCGGCCATCCTTAGTTTACGCGCACATCTGGCAACCACCACTGTGCATATGCGTACGGACAGCAGTATACCACCCCCTTCCGACCAACGTACACCGATCCACTGTACCCGGCACTACAGTAGTAAACCCCAACAATTATCCAACACCTAGATAGTATCACAGGGAACAACATCGCCGCCGGGAAAAAACAAGGCATAAACATTGGGTGACTCACGTGGTCGATCATGAAGTAGGAAGGGAGCATGTCGCAGAAGCCGTTCGGGATGGCGCAGTGGCACGCCGGGTCCTTGCAATCATAGCAGGCGCAATCGCATCCCTGTGTTCGCCGCCGTTGATTTCGCCGTTGCGGTTTTTTTTTGGGACGTTGACCCCGGTCGCAAAACGAGCAACATCGACGACGAAAGACGCGAACGATAATCAATCAGCGGGGAGGCAGACATACATCAAGAAATCGGTGACTACACGATGGCAAAACAACACGACCGGACCAGCCCGCATCGAGATTTAACAGACGGAGAGACGGCATCCACACCTCGCCAATCAGCTGTACACCGCATGCGGAAGGCCTATCTACATCCCCCCTCATGAGAAAGACGCATGCCTTGGAGGGCCACAAAGCTGAACGTGATCGACTGCTACTGCTGTATATACCGTCCCCGCACTCAAACCAAGCAATATCTATGCGCCGCAGACAATGTCTAGCCAATATACCCCATACTCTCAACATAGAAGGGAAAACGCCTGGCGGTGCGGCCAACCCTTCCCCCATGCAACTCACCGAGGGGCATGGGTCCGGGAACCCCCACGAGCTGGACACAGCGGTGTTGAGGATGACGTACGAAGGCTCGTTCGGGATCTGGGTGCCGTGCTTCTCGACGGTCTCGGCGTCGATGCCCAGCACCATCTCGTCGTCGATGTACCACTTGAGGTGCCCGCGAGGCCCTGCGTCCCCTCGGGTCGGGGGCGGCGGGACCCACTCGAGCTTGTAGTTGTGGTACTCGTGGAAGTGGGTGTGCGTCAGGGAAGTGAGCCCTGAGATCGCGTCGGCGATGTAGGCCTGGTCCGCCCCTCGGTACACGGGCTCCTGCGGGGTCGTCTTGTCCACGTGCATGCCGTAGAAGTGGTAGTTCAGCGAGGAGTTCTGCGCGAACTGCATGCCCTCGTACCAGGTGTTCTCCGGGGAGAGCAGCTCGCCGTTGGTCGGCCGGTGCACGGGGATGCCCGGGGCCAGCTGAAGCGTCGTCGACAAGTACGGGCTGTTGACCTTGCCGAGGTTCAAGAGCGGGTCGTCGGACGTCCCAGGCTGGGCCTCCAGGATGTCGATCTCCGTAGATCCGCGGCCCTGGTACCCGTGCATCCCGAAGTGGTTGATCTTGTTGCAGGCGCTGATCTCCTGCGCTCGCTGCAGCTTGGGGTCGCACTTGTCGTAACTCCAGGGCCAGACGAGGTTGGTGGAGGCCTCGTAAGTCGCGCGGCCGAGGTTTCCCAGCAACCAGAAGGCCGGCCACAGGCCCCCGATGTTGTGCTCCCCTGGCAGCTTGGCGTCGATCTCGATGATGCCTCCGGTGAAGCAGAACTTGTTCCAGGTGTTGACCATGGAGCTGCGGTAGCTCTTGGAGAGCGTCTCGTACTTGCGCTTGTAGGGGTTGTAGCCTCGCCAGGTGGTCGACTCGTCCGTGGTGGTGATGTTCATGCTCCCCTTCGTCGTAGTGCCGTAGGACGCGTTGTAGAACTGCTGCGACCCGAGCCCGTTGGACGTCTGCGCGTCATCGGAGTGGGTAGTCGACGTCCACATGGGGTCGTGCCCGTCGTCGAACGATCGCCCGTTGACCTCGAACTCGTCGGACATGATCAGCTCGTACTCCGCGCCATCGTGCAGTGAGCGGATGGTCTTGGCCGCCTCCGGCGTGTCGGGGTCGATCCATCCCGCACCCACGCGGCGGCCAAGCGCCAGCAGGGTCAAAGAGGCAGCAGCCACAGCTTTCCTCGTCGAGGTGGAGGATCGCCTCCTCCGCTGCGGCTGGCCGCCAGGCCCCATGCTAACCGCACTCCTTCGTCCGCAGACAGCAATGCCGCGTCTTCTGGCCGCCCTCGAAGCCAGCAGTGCTGATCGATCGCTACCCTCCGACGTAGCCATGGCCCGCACCCTCTGGGAATGAGGAGGGGGGGTGTACGTGTGTGTGTTCACGTTTTCACAAGCGGGGAGAGGAGAGGTCCGCCGCTTCAAGCGCGTTATCTTCAACAATAGAGACGAAGCGCCAGCAGCCACAGGGAAGGCCAGTAGCACGCGGCTCAGGGGAATAGAAGAGGTGTCGTTGGAAGGCGAGCAAGGAGCATGTGTCATGTGCATTATCCAGATTAGAGAGCGGACCGGAGGGGGTCTGTTGACGAGAAACCGGACACTCGGGGGGTCATGTATCATTCATGTCATGTTCCGCAGTCCACTCCACTCACACAGCACATGTGCTGACTCTCACTCTGCTCTCGAAGACCACAGCAGGACAGACAGACAGCAGCAAGGACAGGGATGACACAACACATTGCTTTACTGTGGCTGGCCCTTGCGCCTTCTTACCAGCACCCTGCAGCGGGCTTCTCACTCTACTGGTCCCCAGCAGCATCATCCAGCAGCAAATGCTCCGCGACTCCGAGCAGGAATCGCGCCGCTTCCACCGCACGCGCCAGGATACCGCCATCATCCCGATGTGGGCCGATTGCACCACCAAGCGCTGGACGGCGACGACGCCCTCTTTCGGCATTGTCAGCAGCAGTCGATGGACCAGCAGCAGCAGCAGCCGCAGAAGTTGAGGAGGCGGCTGACGAGCCTCCGACGGGGTGCGAACGAGCACCTCACGAACCAGCCGTCCAAGCTTTCGAAGCGTGGACGGCGCGAGCGGGGTGCAGGGGAAGCAGCGGCAGCCTTTCCCACGCCGACTTCGACGGCCTGCCAGGACTAATGACCAAGGACGCGGTGCCACCGTGGCAACCGATAGCCACCGTTCCCGAGTCGCTCTTCCTGCAAGAAGACTTCCTCTTCGCCCCTTGTTCGGGGACTGCTGCTGCTGCGGACGCAGGGGCCGCCGCCGACACCGAGCGAACGCAACCGTTACCTCCCCTGCCGCCGTTGTCGGTCGAAGCCTGGCAACGCTGCCCGTGGTGGGTGCGACTGGGCGTGCGTCTTCTCAAGGAAAGGGCCGACGGAGAGGGATCTAGGCTGCAGGATTACGTCGGGATGTTGCCTCGTCCAGGCGAGACCGGCGCGCCCGTGAACTGGTCGGCGGAGCAGCTGGATCGGCTGCACTATCCCCGCTTGCTGTCACAGATCAAGCTACAGCGGCGTCTGTTCGAAGGTGTGGTACGTATATAGGGTGCTGTTGAGCAGAGACCGTATTATTTTTGAATTCCCACCAGTCAATGGGTACTGCTTGTGATGTGTGAAGTCGTCGGCGAATATGTTTTCTCTTCTAGCCTGCGGTTTGATTGGTTCAAGAAGAACCAAAGTGAAGTGTAAAAGTTGCCGTTGGACATGGCCGCCTGCAGCAGTGTTCTCCAGGATGCACCAGCTGTCCACACGAGCTGTTGCTGTGTCCGGTTGGCACGATACCTCTTGAGAAAGCGGGAGGTAGTGTTGCGTGACACATGGTTCAACGAAAGTTGCGTGGGGGCCCTCAGCAGCGTACCGACCCGGCACAGAAAGTACCTGTCGTCATGGATCGCCGAGCTTGAGTGTTCTTCGTGGACCGTTCCCGGAACCGTGTAGCCAGGTAACATTGATGCGTTCCCACATTGTCACAAAAAATGCCACACGTAGGTGCTCAACAGTGCGCGACTGCGACGGGGGGTACATGTTTGTAATTTCATCGAGAGGCAGCGCCCTCTTGCTCGAAAGAGTAATGCGCGGCAGCGGCCTTTCGATGCTGACCACAAGCGTCGATCGGAAACGCTTGCACCTCGAGATCCCTTGCGCACTGGGAGTTGTAGCACCGTCCACCACCTCCGAATCAAGCAACAGCTCTGCCTTTCGCCACCGCCAGGCTTCCGAAAGTTTCTGCTGGCGGATGCAAGGCGTGGCGACAACGCGCCCAGCACGAGAGAGGGGGACGGCGTCAATCGCCTGGTAAGCGCGTTGGCAGACCCTGCCATGTTCAGCTGGGCCCTGGAGTGCGTCTTGAGCCGCGCGTTCCAGCTCCCTCCACGGAGCGCGGCCGCGCTGGTGGTCGAGGAGGGCGATGATGTCCCCGTGAAGGCGCCGGAGGTGACGCCGCCTGCGCCCGACGAGATGAGAATGGCCCTGCTACCCCTCATCGATTCGATCAACCACTACAGCCGCATGCCAACGCACATGTACTGGGAGGCTGACGGCGCCCTTAGCTTATCAGGTGGGGTGCTTTGGACGGATCTGCATGGTGTGTTGTTGGGTGAAGGTTGAATATTGTTGACGGGTCTTGAGTCGGTTAGGGCGGAACGTTTGAATGTTGTACTTGTTGTCGCGAGGGACTGCTGTATCTTGATGCGTCTGGTACCTCGACCGGTGTTGTTGGTCCGCGTTCGAAGATTCCGGCAAGGCTCGGGAAGGCTCGGTTATCTGTGGGCGATGAGTTTTTGCCGCGTATACCGCCCCAAACGTCCTTTTGTTTTCTTCTGGCCTGTTCTTGGCCCTCTGACACTCTGTGCTCCTAGCCGCGATGGACATTTGACGCGGATTTAGAGTAACACGCAGCAGTCCACCTACCTCCACCTCTCGCTACGCTTGGTTCTCCTCAGTGGGTGCTGCGTTCGACCCGGGTGACCATGCGTTCGCGTCGTACGGCCCGGTGTCCAACGACGACCTGCTGCAGTACTACGGCTTCGTGGAACAAGATAACCCTTCGGACACATACGTCCTGGAGGACATGGGGAAGTGGCTTCGAGAAGTGAGTTTGCTAGCTTTGCTAACCATGTGGTCTGCTACATGTATGGGATCAGCAAGCAGATGTAGTCGTATTTTTCCCTCAGGGCTTCTCTTCGTGCTTTTTGTACATGGAGACATCATGCCTTATCCACTGGTGTTTGGTGATTCTTGTCTTGTCGAGGGGTTGGGGGGAGGGGGAGACGGGGCAGTCGGTGGCGAGAGAACATTCTTTTGTCCGTTGATTTAGTGTTGCAAAGTCGTTCGTTGACTGTAACCTTGTGTTGTGAGGGAGTATGTATACATGTAGCAAATCCTGAACTAGACCCTATGTTAACCTTATGTAACCGCAGGTACATGTGCAAGGGGGGCGGCGCCCTCCCGCTGGAGGGTGCTTTGAAACCTCGTTCCCGAACAAGAAGAATGCCTTCAGGAATTGCATCGCCCGCCCCAATCCTCTCATCTCCGCAGTAGAACTACCGTTAATTCCTTGAACTCGAGTCTCACAGTCCTCAGTAGGGCATGCGTTTGGCTCTCGGTAGTACGCCTCCGAATGTACACACCCGATCTCCGACGAATAATAACAACGGCTCCCGCTCGCACCCGTCGTCCGCCTACGGCAGGACGGTTTGCTAGGGACCGACCTGTCAAGCAGGCTGCTAGCTTGCCCCGCGGCGAGAGACGTGTGGCGCTATCTCCGACGAGGGGTCATCCTGCGCGACGCGGTACACCCGGCCACCATGCAGGCCGTGCGCATCGTCTCCTGCGAGGCAGCTGGCCTTAGCGCAGGCGACGAGTCGGAGCTGAGTTGGGACGGTACGGAAGCAGGCCTGTCGCGGTTCACCGCCCCGGTATCGCTCGTCTCGGAGAACGCCGCCTTCGAGCTGCTCATGCGGTACAGCGCGCGGGAGGCGGACGACTGGGGAAAGGCCGGCGTGGCCGCCGCCCTCGCAGAAGACCCCGCCGCCCCACGCCTGGACGGAGATCTCGACGGGCTCGGGTTGGACACGGATCGGCGGCTGATGTTGTCGGTGTTTAGGCAGGAGAAAATAGCGCTGCTTCGGGGTATCGTGGGCAGGCTGACGCACATGCGGAAGGTCAGCGACTTGTTGAACAGACCCATCAAGATGCCTGTGAGCGGGTCGCCCCCTCCCGTGTTGGGGCCCGCTAGTAGGTCGTCGTGAGAACATGGACGACGACGAAAATTTTGTGCAAGCTTGGTTGGACGCGGCGCGGGTGATTATATTTTCAGAGTGTTCAAAAGAGGGAATCCGCGCGCTCTTGAAAAGGCGTTGGAGTTGAGCGCGCGGTGTTGAACGCTGGACTGTACTCATAGCTCGTAGCCAGCCTCCGGGGGTTTGGCATATGGCAAAGTGTTTCCCTTGTGTATTCCATTGCAAAAACAACTTGCAATGGCGGTGCCGGCAAGGGTTTTGTACAGACAGATTTGGTTCCTTGTCCGTGCAAAGCTTGAGCCCCGCAACACCTTGGTGATGGGGTGTCTTGAGTGGGCAGGCATTTTGAAGTGTTTCTATGTTCTAAACACACATCCATTACTTTTTTACTTTCGTAACTCCTAATTTTCCATGTGCTCTTTCTTGTCGGCCTCATCGAAGGCATCATGGTACGTGGACATGTGGACATCATTGCAGCAAGCTGCACCACACCAGATCGACACTAAAATCAACGTCAAAGTTTTTTTCTCTCTCGCATGTCTCCCGCGCGCGCTTGCTACAACAATTTCTGCTCATCTAACAGGCGCGAGGACGTGAAATTGTATTTGATCTATGCGTACACTACTATACATTCTTCGGTCTCCTCTAACTCCGTGTCTTTGAAAGTCTAGCAGCAGCACCTCACGGCAGCAACGTGCCATTTCGTCGACGAATTCCAACTCCCTTCTCGCTCTCCTTCGCACGTTCCAGTGCGAGAGTTTCGCCTACACACATAAAGAGCCTCGCGGGGAAAGAACAAGAGCGGGCTCGCGATGAACCGAGGGCTATACTCCCGTGCTTGAACCGAGGGCAACATTCCCGTGCTATGTTCGAGAGGTTATCTGTTTACGTGACGCGCAACACTTGCGCACGCGACATCATGCCTGACCCTACCCTCACTGGAAACAAGACCTCAAAATCGCCTTGCGAAAACATGACGATACAAAAAATTACTCGGTAGTTCGTATGCATACGCGTCACATACATGCTTCGGGTTGATCACAAGTCTATATTGTCCGCCCACACAGACAAGAAACATATGTACATGACAGACAAATAGACGACACAGACGTCACTGAACTCTAAACCACACTCTTCCGCAAAACAGCAGCAGTCAAGGGTTAAGACGCTGATGTATAAAAGTGATGCCGCTGAACGTACAGCAGCATATTCAACGCGTAGCCCGCCATGCCACCCAAAATCGGAACCCCCTCAAACACACCGGCAGCGCCTCTGCTGACCGGCTCCGCCAGCAGCTCAAACGCTGGCGAGCGCATCAGGTACAGGAACCACAGCATCTTGCGGCGCCTCAGCTCGGCCGCTTGCTCCTCGTCCAAGTAAGGCAGCACCGGCACGCCGCTGCTACCCGCCTCTCCGATCGGAGTCAACAGGGCCATCGCCCCGCTGCTGCCCCCTGCTCTCGCGGTGCAAGCGAAGGCCGCGGCGTCCATCCCCAGAGAAATCAGCCACGGGCGCCAGGACCGCTCCCCCGTCGCCGCGCAGCCGTAGCTGTACGCCAGCGGTCGCAGGATGTGGATCACTTCTCCCGCCATCAGCCACGCCTGCCCTCCCTGTGCCTCCCGCCGTTGTCGCCACACGCACGATTCATCGCTGGCCGCTTCCATCGATCCGCCCGTACCAATCCCCTGCCCACCGTTAGCACAGCCCCGGAAGCTACTACTACTGCTGCTGTCGTTCTGAAACACTCCGTCGGCGCTTCGTCGAGAGCTGCCACAGGAGGGGGACGAAGCGGTCGCCGCCAGCCTGCTGACCCCGCCCGACCGGTTGGAACGCCCTCGCCCGCTCCACACCACGCTCGCTCGCGGTGGGACGATCAGCTTCACGCCGCTCCGCTTTCCCGTGTACACCTCGGGGGGGGGGCAGGGAGGCGAAGGGGGGCGGTCGACCGCGAACTCAGAGGATTGCGCTTGATTTAATCGGGCTCCGTTGAGGTCGACCTCTCTCCAGGCGCCGGCTTTGTTCCGATTCCCGAGCGGCGGAGTTCTCCGATTCCCCCCCGAAACGTACTACAACAAGTGCGGCCGTCGCGTGCAGCACAAAGGAATACGAAAACGAATGCGTCGAGGGATGATTGAGGAAAACAATCGGATGATTTTTTGCGAGTGAATGCACAGTAACGTTGGCCCAAGATCTCCACCATAGGGCCAGCTTTCAAGCATCAATCAGCCAGCACTTGTGTTGCAAGTGGGCCCCATGGCAGTGATCCTCAACAAAAAAAATAGCCGAACAAGGGAGAGACGCGCGCTCCGGGATGTCCATTCACAGCCGCACCCGAGGGTCTCAGGTCTCGAGCAATCACATCAATGTCTACACGCCTCAACTCGAACCAAAACAGACCCGGGGATCGTATTTCCAGTTTGCACAACAAGAGAGGAGCTGCTACACATGCCAATCCAAGGCTTAATACAGGGGCACACTCACCGAGCCTCCTCCCACGACCATTTCCCTCGTGCACGCGAGTAGCAGCAGTCGGGCCAAGGCCTTGAGCGTTTCCAGGTAGACGATTGCCTGTTGTCTCCTTCGCGGGCCTCCGTGCTGCGCGGCCAGCTTCTCCACCACGATCTGCACGTTCGCGATCATGGCCAGGGCTACGCGCATGCGTTGGGCGACGACGGTCGTCGATGATGGCCTCTCTCTGGGCAACAGAAAGTCGAACAGTCGCAAAAAACAGATAGGGGAGGGGAGCGGAGTTACAGGAGACGCAGACACCGGGTTTCTTCGAGCTCAGCGAGTCAGAAGCACACCAATGCATCGAACCCCTGATCCACACGGGAAAACCTTCACATAACGCCAGCGTGCCATACCACCTTCGTTTCGACCAGACTGTTCAAATGCCCCTCGAGAAACGTGGCGCTTCTCAGGATTCTGAGCTGGCGACGTCGAGCACACAATGAGAATGCTGCGCTGCCTGTGAGCATGTTTGCGAGGGTCTCTTGAAAGCCAGGCAGCTAGCTAGCGTCAGGAACGCGGAAGCCCCGCCCTCCGAACACTTGTTGGAAGCGTGAACAGTAATGAGGTATTACACAAACCAACATGCTCCCCCTTTCAATTCGGAACTGACATGTTACAGCTATTATCTGTTCCCAGTATACCGTTGGCACATCGTATGCTCTACTCACCGGTTCTTGGGATCGAGTCGGATGCTTGATCCAGGCGCGATGCCGAGGGCGTGTACTTGGCCACCGTCGAGGCCATCATCGTTGGCGGCCCCTCCGTCCTGTCCCCCACGGCCAAGACCTCCTCCTTGTCCGTGTATCAAGATTTGGTCGTGCGCCAAGGCGGCAAGGCTAGACAGCGCATAGCCAGACTCGATGGAAAGATCTCTGTCGGCGAAGCGCGCCTTCGGGAGGAGAGTGAGGCGGTAATGGTGCGGGGTGGATTGGATTATTGGAAGACGTAACACCGATTTGTGCTCGCGAGGGGGGTGAGATCAATGAGGTTTTTTTATTGGACGGGCTTGGAGACCTTGTAAGATCTACCATTGATGGTGACGAGTCCAACGTCTACAGTGCTGTACGTCCGTAAAATTTAGTCCACAGCTGTCTGCCGTCCGCCGTTTAGTCTACAGCAGTGCACATTTTTTGGAACACAGCAGTTCACCCCGGCCAACACGACTATTCCTCGCATATCAAATCTGTATCAAAACCTGTATCATTGGTATATGAAGTGTGGTAGATGAAACTACATGTGCATAGAATATACCACCCACGTCTCTGTGCACTCGTGTGACTGCAGCATCAGTAGCAGTGCAGCAGTGCAGCAGTACAGAGTACAGATCCTCACCGGTGCGAAGAAGCCGGAGTATCGAAGGAGAGTCTCTACGGTGCGTGCTGCGGTTGGGTTGTGTCGCACGAAATTGGCATAGCACCATCCTTCTTCAGAAGCCCTCGGATCGCGCTGCTGTTGTTCCATATATGGTCGCGGAGCCCTCAGGACCGCGTGGGTAGTAAGTGCTACACTGCACTGCCCAGGCACCGCCTCCGCGTCCGGGCACAGCAGCAGAAAGAAGTACTGGCTGTGAGGGGTTCCGCAAAATATAATTTGTGGGGTTTCCAGGCATGTGCTGATTGGCTCTTTAGATGAAACCGCCCTTTTCGACAGTGTCGGGGTGTCGGCCGTCTTCGCCGTTCGTTCACCATTCGTGAGTGTGTTAGCGTCACTCAGACATGCAATGATTGCCAACCAACACAGAGCTGGCCTGTGGAATACGCTGCCGACGACAATCGTGTTGATTGCTATGTTGGAGAGGTAAAAGAGAGTGCACAACGCCTCGCAGTTGGGGATCCCGTTCTCAGCGTGCCTCATATATCCAGACTAGTCTAGCCAAGGAATACCGATCGATGCGATTTCATCGCGTGCCAGGACATGACACGTAGTACCCATATCAGGAAGGGTGAAGAGCACCAGGACGATGACTACGATATCAGCCAGAAAAGCTTGCTGGCGAAATCGCACAAGACAGACAGAGTGGTCCGACAACACAGCAAGAAGACCGTACACCACATTACAAACTCCGCCCCTCAACGCAAGCTCCTTCCGTGGGAAGCCTTTTTACCCACTGGCGGGCAAGATATGGGCAATGAATGGTCAGACACGCGAGAACCGAACAAGAACGATTTCAAGGAGCTCCTTGATGAGGGGAAAAAACGCTTGGAGCAGGCAGAACAGGAGCAGCAGCTCAGAGAGCGTGCTGAAGTCGTGGGGGCAATGGGTGCTTTGGCCCTCGAAGACCTACTGGCCGACCTACGCGAGCCAAGCTTCTCTCGGCAGCAAAACGAGTGAGAGCGTCTTAAGATCCTACTGAACTTCAGTGGTGGTAGTCGCCTGCAGTGCACAGTTGGCCTGCCATGTCTCTCGCGGTACAAAGTTTTCCCGACCTCTGCTACTATTGCCGAGTTACAGTCTACATGTACAGGAAAGTATAGCAACCTCAAATAGTCTAGACTTCATGTCCTGTTGTCTACTACTTTACTACTCAGTATTTAGTTTTACACCAGGATATAGGTATCTTGGTAGTGACGCAAGTACAACCAGTAAAGATACGAAACCCTACGAACGATGTTCTCGGGGTCTGAAGATGTTTACAAGAAAAATCCTCCGCCTGCTGTGACCAGCCGGAGGGTGAAAGGGTGCCCCTGATGCTCACTCTCATGTTTGACCATTCTTAAACCTAGCACAGGCGACCAACGTCAGCTACGCTTGGCAATTCCTCGCCACATTACAATACAGTAAGAGCGAAATACTACCGCTGATGAACGGTTTGACTAATCACCACTTCAGAGACCCTTACTCGGTAACAGAGAACGGGAACTCTCATAGTGCGTGTTTACCACCATCGTTGTATTTGTCCCTCTCAACAGGAAGCTACGACAGGGCATAGCAAAAAAACTGAGGGCTAAAGTTGCACGACTCTTCGGCCGCGTCATGAGCCAGTACGTTACAGGGTCGTACAGTTCAGGTCAGGGGACTCGTTTGGTTTTTTCATCCCCCGGAGATTCGACCTACCATTGGTGGTTGATTTGCCAAGTACTGTAGCTTGGATCTTTAGAAAATCGCTACCGCATGCCTAATCGAGCGGAAGACCCGCTTTGTCTTTGTTGAGCTTGTCTTTTGACCACGGCTCACGGTGGCAACCCCAAACAGCTCTTGTCCCAGGGTAGCCCGGTGAAAGTCACCAAATACCCATTTATTGGCACTCAGGAAGGCACAAAACGACCCTGTTCGAACCGAGAACTTAGCCTCCCAGTTCTTCTGTCAAGGGTTACCTGCTACTGTACAAAGTAGAGCTATGAAAAAAACGTTTTCTTGTGTGCAGTGCCGTGCGACTCAAACACAGCCGAGAGCGGCATGGCGAGGGCATCCGCCGCCTTTCGGGTGAAGCTCAATCGCTTGTTGGATCATGCATATCTGGGAGAGATTCAACATCAGGTGAGTTCACTTAGTTCTCTCTACGGCCGATCTGCACGAAGGGAATCGAAATCAACCGCTAAGAACAACACCACCTGTGACCCACCAAGATTGTGAGTCTGCACATCTCTCGTGAGAACGAAGGAATATCTGCTGTTGAAGCAGCTTATTGGGCTCGGACCTTGGATGTCTGGAATACAGGCGTGATAATTCCAAACCATTTTGTACCCCATGAAGGAGCTCACCCCATAAACTGATTGGGCCCTAGCCAGTGGATACTGAGGCAAAAGCTCCGTAACCGACCTTACCGCTTAGCCACAATTCTACGGTGTGACATTTCAGTAACGATGCCATGGTGTAGGTTATGCAGGACAGTATCCAATTTTGTTCTCAGTGAGTGCAAGCGAATGTATCGGTGACCACCTACCGGGTACCCCTCGTTCTAAACTCTACTGCGGAAAAGGTCACCCACGAAATTGCCGGAGCCACACGCACCCCGACCACGCGAACAAGGCCAAGAGAGTGTTGCAAGAACGTCGTTCGAAACGGGTCGGGTAAGGGCGGGCAGGTAGGATCAAGGCGCGAGCATGTTTCTACGACAGGCGCACGCATTGACCCGCGCCCACCTCCAAGACAGCCATCCACCACTGTCCCAGTTGTGCCACGCCAAAGAGGACGCCGTCGACCGACGTTACCGGCGAAGCGTTCTCCTGGTAGGCACGGCACCACAGGTGTCCGCGAGACTCACCCACGAAAGGAGGGCCTTGGAAGCACGACGAGGGATCAGCAAGATGATCCTGAGGAGCAGAGGAATGATGGTGGCTGCGACGGATGTGCGGACGCCACGCCAGCTCTTGGACGCCTCGGATCGTCTGACGAGGATGAGGAATCTGGTTGCAGTTCCGACACCCCGTCATCGCGGGGTGTTTCTTCTGGTGAAAGCACGAGCAGTGGGGACAGTTTTGATTGCTACGACGGAACGGGCGCCAGCCAGGGCAGCTCGGACTATAGCAGCAGCAGTAGTAGCCAAAGCGATGGCGGCGGTCTACCAGCATCTCCGAAAAGGAACAAATCAGAGATGGGAACTACTGAGACATGCCATGACGAGAGTCAACAAGCAGCAGTAGGTGATGACGAACTACCGGGCGAAGCAACAGTGGAAGAGGTGCCAGAGGAGGAAGAGGAAGACGAGGAGAAGGACAAAGTAGATCTCCCGAATGGAATAACAAAGAGGCACAGCTGCTCCACTTTTATGGAAAACTCTCGTCAGAAGCAACACCGGGGCAAGAAACACAAGAGACGCAGAAGACGTTTACGAGGTGGCGGCTCAGGTGCTAACAGCGCCCATCTCGACGAAGGCTGGTCAAATCGATGGCTCACAGGTAACACGAATGCCGGCGAGAACATATTCGGGGTGCCCTACCGGATCCCGTTTAATTAGCTGTCTTGTCTTTGGCAGGGATATGGGAAGGTTCCGAAATGCAAACAGAGAGTAGGGCCGTGCGAGGGCGCGAAGAGAAGATGGTGGAGTACTATTAATAGTACAATTAGGATCACTTTGTCTCTCGCGACTAACGACTCTCTGTTTTTGTTTATGATATGGTTCCGTGGCAAGACAAAAACCTTAGCATCGTTCACACTAGGCACGCACGACTGCCGCCCCTCGAAAAGCGATGCCTCACACTCCTCTCCTCGCTTCAGAAAGACAACAAAATTATCGCTTTGGCGCACACCGGCTTACCTCTAATGGTACCGCCTTACCCCGCAGATGCCGCACACGTGGTGTTTGAGCGGTGCACGTCACAGCACCGCAGTGCAGCGTCTGGAAGTTTTTCGGCAATAACCAATTTCTCTTCACTTTCGGTCCCTTTGGCAGTTATTCTGACCGAGCTTGGGCTCCACCAATCTCAGCAACGCACCGTTCTCTCCAAGCACATTCCGGATACATTCAAAGACGATAGCGGCGCGGGACAAGCACAGCCAGTAGCGTCGCCGCTATCCCGAATCGACCGGCCGCACTTTAGCCCAGCCTTCGTCGAGCTTCGGGCAGCAGGGGAAGGTTGCACGGTAAGAAGAGGAAGCCTTGGACAGAAGTCACACATTATTGACGCGAAGACGTTGCATACAGCCAACGGTTCGAAATTGTGCTGAACGTCTGCTCCGGAAAGAGAAATGCCTTAACTTTCTCGAAATATCGCATATCTGCTGTGGTGCGTATCGGTCCAAACATCGAATACGGCGTTATTTCTATAACATTGAACACGGCGTTTTGTGTGCTCGTTTGGTCAGTGCGATACCCTTCACACAGCCTACAGTAGTTACGCGTACACCGAGGATCCTGAACGACCAAGTGACAGCTTTGATAGTCATCTATGAGGTCGAAACATCACCCGAAAACATGTTCATGGGAGGCACGGGGGTGGTGCCCTCTGTAGGAACTAACCTTTGTCGATGGCTCCAAAACAGCCGACAAACCCTCCGCAGCTCCGGCGCGACTACACGCCAGCAGCCCCTAAAGGGAGAAAAAAGTTGTGACAGAGAGCTTGACAGGAATTTTTAACACCGGCAAATCTTCTCCCCCTTCCTCCTTCTCCCGCTTCACGTCTTGCCAACCACGAGAAAAGCTGCTGATGTGTCCGGAGCCGGTGGCGCCTGGCTACGAATACTCCGATGTGTTCGAAGAAGTGGTGAAACTTCATCCACCAGTGGGCCAGCTGATCCTAGAAGAAATAGACAAGTGGGTGGGTTGGGAGGGTAGGCGGCTGTAAACGCACTCTCCACCCGATAGTTCGATGCGGCATCTTCTGCCAATCCCACCCCCATCAAATGCCTCGACTTTTCGTAAACATCGGGTTTGTGGGTGATCACTCTGTGGGTTAAAAGTGAACACGTTGACCTTTCGAGGTATGTTTGATAGCACCTTTGCATTTGTTCCGTTTACGTCACGGCAAGAGATACAACAATAAGGTTGTGGGCAATTACACTAGCCTTCTCTTTCCCGGCGTAGTGATCCTGGTCTGCCACAAAGCAAAATATCAAAATGTCCCCTTTTCGACCCCAACTAAGTGTTATAAGTGATTTCGGGCTCTTTCTTGGCTCTTGTAGTCGCACAGATTTTTTGTCGGGATATTTCACGTAGCGGGCGTCGTTGTCTACAGGCGATTGATTTTTCAACAGAAAAACATTGGTCAATATGAACCGCGTAATGCCAGGGAAGGCTTGGTACGAAGTTCATGTTACCGTTCAGGCTGATGGAAATCAGGTTCCTGCGATGTTCTTCCTGAGCCTGGACTTTGACGTTGTCCTGGAAAACGTTGAATTTTCTTTGTTTTGCCAGGGGAAACATCATGACAAGGAGTGACGCGCTTGCCCACGTGGAAAGCCTCGAGCGCGGCGCCGTTCCAAATAATGCCAAGGTAGATGCGGGCCTTGAACAAGTTTGTCTGTTGCAGACGTGTCGCGGTCGTCGGCGAAATCAGTGCTACGGTTTGAATTATCAGCGCGCTACGCAGGCGCCAGAAACGAAAACGCAATTTGCTCATAATCGGATCTTAGGATAAGGTTCTATGTTCCACTGAACCGCTCCGGGGAGGATGGCCGTGCTCCGGAGAAGTAGCTGCGTCGACTTGCCTGTGCCCCCCCAGAGAAGTTAACCATGCTCAGAGAAAAGTCACATCAACAAGGTGGTTTCTAAGGACATGAACACATTCGTACTTTCCGGTGAAAAATTCATGTCGGGGGGAAAGGGCAGGGAGGGGTCACTCCAACTGCATCGTTTCACGTAACAATAATTTGTTGGTTCGAGCGTATCCTCGTGCATTGAGACGGCTTTCTTTACGCCATCTACTGTTTGTTGTTGTGGTGCCTCGTATCGAACGCAGCGTTTGGTGGACGAATTCCTCGCGGAGAAGGAAGTGAAGAATCTTCTTGCCTCCGCGGAAACAATCGAGGTAGGCGAGGAGAGCACACGAGAATGCCATGTACATAGGTTTTCGAAACAGGGCAATGTCACTTACACCCATAGTGCGTGCCGGCATGATGCATTACCCCATTGGAAAATGCAGCGACTCAAATAAGTCTTCACTCGTGATCTCGTGCTCGACTGAAGTTTGAAAATAACTCCTTACCATGTACCAATCTCCAGTGCAATAATGTTTCTTTGCGCTTTGTCAACCGATCAAGAATATCCGCCTCCTCTCGTTGTAGGCACTTTCAACAGTTAGTTTATTGGCCGCAAAGAGATCTACTGTGTACGTCAGATATCTTGAGCGCTCCAGACAGTAGTCCGATCGAAGCCACACGTCCCCTATCTTCCTCCAAATGTTTTGTAAGCGTATGGGTATTCCGAAACTCGAAAGAACAGTTGACTGATATGAAGCTCTTTCTCTCCCCTTCTTACATTGAGGCTGCAACACGCTTTGTTTTTTCTTTCGTGGTAAATTTGATCAGGTGAAGTGCTTGCTTTGGTAGGGGTCGTACTGTTCAGAAAATGATTGTGACGACACCGAACTCGGATACGTACGGGTCGGAATTCGCCACAACGCTTGATACCCCACTCAAGCAAACGCTAAGCGAAGTATTGGCGAAATACGGATCTGCAGGAGACCCAGATTGTTTGTAGTTGTTCCTGCCCACATACATACATGCACCGCCATACGACGTAAAATAAGACTATGCCAAATGAGTTCGTTTTGAAACGTTAATCGACGACTTTGGAGTTTGTGCAGAACGTGTTGGAAGTTCATTGTGTGGTAGATATTTCCTTTTGGCGGTCACTAGCATGATGGTTCGGCATTTGAACAGAAGGCCCCGTTAGCATAGCAATTGGGAAGTTGTCCTGGACGGAATAGCAAGGTCTTGTCGGCGCTACAACCACCCCCATAAAGCAGGCTCATACATTCATACTACCCACCCCGAACCGCCCTCCGTTTTCTCGTCGCTGTTGTTTCTGTCATTCCGCGCGCCTTGCTCGTTCCCGTTCTTTGTATATAGTTGGATTTGGCGCAATGCGCAGCCGCTGGTACGTTGCTGAACCAAGACGACGTGCTGTAGGCGTTGTGTGCGCCCGTCTGCCCCCCTCCCACCTTCACTCCATCGAGAACATCGAGCAAGGAATCCGCGTGTGCAATCGGGCAGTCTCATGGAGGCACCGGAGGAGTGTGATTTCCTACGAGTTACAATGTAATCCTATGGCAACAACCCCCGCCTGACAATGGCGGCTCTCACGTAGTATAGCACGAGGCGAACCAATGGATGTAGCTACGCGGAATCAGTGTGAGATGGTTGCCTAACCTTACGAGAAGGAGTTCAGATGTTGCTTGGCACTTATTCGAGCAAACACTATATTTTGTCGAGGGTGACGTTGGCCTGGACAACCCTTTCATCAACACCGTAGATTTCCTCCAAATCCCCAGAATTTCGCAGCGCCTACACGGTTGGTTGTGATCGAGTGCACGTTAGCACAAAATTGGAACGCTTGTTTCCGGCAACTACTTCGGTTCATCATGGTCGCGGAAAGCGGCAAATGCCCGGACGAAACACACGCGTGCAGCACCGAGTCAGGCAACGCCACTAGATCTATCCAACCTTTCCCGAACACGCTGAAGTGAACAAATGACAACGGTTCCCACCCCAGGGAAGCAGGCACCAATCAGGATTTAGGGCCGCATACACCCTTAGCGTGGCCGCAGAAGGTTCCTCTAAGAGACTGGTAGGGTCTCCAGAGGTTTTACCATACCTGAAACAAGATGCGGATTAGCACGCTTGGTTGAGGCAAGCTGCTTTGCCCATGAATTATTGGAATGTGCATCACATCACTGGTCGGTGCTATGCGCAGAAAGAAGGAGGTTTGTTGTTGGAAGGTGCGACCGTTTTTCTGGTGGCTTGCGATCAAAGCACGTCGAAATGCCACTCGAAATGACCAGAGCCGAGCCATGAGACCCATCCGATCCCCGCTAAGATCGACCCCCTCCAGTCAGGACTCGTTATCTTCCCGCGAAGCTTTTCCTAGGCATTCTGGACGCTAGATGCTTGGGCAGGGACGGCCAAGTCAAGAAGGACAAAGAACACCTTCGACTCCTCCACCGCTTGCCACGAGATATCGGGCCCCACGCGCGTCACGCAATTCCGCAAGCCAGTCCAGCAAGAAACTGTTCTGCATGTTGACCCGCAAGACTTTCTACAACAGCGACAGTATCGGTAGTACGAACAAACGCTCGACGAAAAAAAAAGAAAATTATGCCCATAATTCTTGTTTCATTGGCACACCCGCTACCCCGTCTAAGGTGCACCGAGCAAAACTAAAAACATGTTTTCCTGCGCCTGTGCAATGCCCTGCAGTCTTTCACGTACCTCCCCCTCCCCCCCTCTGCTTGTTGACGGTGAGGACAAGTGCTGTGGTCACGCGTGTGACGAGCAGCCCGAACAAAGCAAGCCATAGTCAGAGACAGCAACAAGACATCAGGCCTGCGTGAAACAGCGGCACGCGGCCGCTTCCCCGCGGACAGGACAAAACGGGGAGAAACAAAAACGCTGGCTCACGCCCCCCCCCCTTCATCAAGCTGCACGGTTGTAGCTACCGTGGTGCAAGCGAGGTGCTAACCCGAACGCACGCCATGCAAGACCACCACGAAGCCTTTTTAGCTCTGTGTCACCACCGCACGAACGTCCCATTGCTTCAGCTTTTCAGCATTTGGCCATCCTCGCTCCTCTAAGAGCCACGTGTGAACAAGATACTGTACCCACAAAACTGCCAGAACGAGGCGGATAACGCGTCGTCTCTTGCAATCGATACACCGAACCGTAAAAGGACACCTAGTCTATGCTAACCATATATCGAAAGGGCCCCGGTCTCCCTACCTATGACGGGATCAGTGGGAGAGGCCACACGTGCACATCAATTGTCGCCACACTTGGTGCAAGCACAGTACACAGGGCGCACACCCGCCAGACGTGCCAGTCTCTATAATTAGCACCGCGTGACCAGCGCACAGTCTACCATGCAACCCGCATATGTCCGAAGTTTTCGGAACCCCCCCTTCCACATGACAGCAAAGATAGCCGTTCTCCCCCTAAATATTACTCTACCCCCCCGACTCGCACTGAATATCGCAAGCCACCCTGAAACCACCGTGCAGGTCAATGTTCTAACTTAAGCCCCCTACCACCCAACCCCACCCACAGCTCAGCCTATCTGTCTGCACAGAGCTACAGACGGATAATCCCAGAGTCTTAAAAAACGGGCCTGAAACAAGTGCTGGCCCCCTCGTCTCTATAACTACGTGACATGAACCGGTCCTTGAATAAACACAACGATACCACAGCAGTAACGCGAGGGGCCTTATCTCCGCAGGTTTCTTCCCCGAGTTGTGCCTCTCGATCAAATCGAGAAGGGGCGCAAAACGCAAGGCGTGTGGCCTCAAACTCCCCTCCTTTCTAGCGTACACCCCGTCGTCAAGAGGTCACGCAGGGGAGGAGGAACCGGCCGTCCGGGTTTTCCATCTCTAAATCTACTTCTTCTTCTCGTAGTGTGCCTTCACCAAGGAGTACAGCAGCGTGCCGGCCACCGCGATAGTGGAACCGGCGATGGATAGCGGCGTCATAGGCGTGCGGAACGCGATGCACGCCGCCACGATGATAACCACGCGCTTGATCGTGTTGCCCACCGCGTGCTGCGCGCCGGGAGAGAAAAAGAGCACGCGTAGCGGAGGCGGAGGGAGGGGACAGGGGAGATTAGTACGCTGGTGAAGTGCATATAAAATTGAAAGAGACCGCGCTGGTCACGGCAAGCGTTAAGAGGGCCCGCAGGTTGGCGATTGCGACGGGAAGCGATAGACTCGTGCACAACAGCAGCAGCTCTTGACCACAGAGGCAGCTTCGTGTCGAAGGCGTTCAGATGAAAACAGTGTGTTTTTCGTTTACGGTACATACCAATGGTGTGGGCACTTGGCCGCGCTTTTCACACGAGGTCAGAACTGGTGCCCTCGGCAAGGGGTCGCGACCTCCGTCCCTCGCAGGATTGGGCAACGAAATCAAAGAACACACTCGAAGCAGCATACGCACCCCCCCCCCCCCCATCTACTGATAGCCATGAACCACAGCCACCGCCATGGCCGGCCGGTCGTGCTCTCACCGTGACGGGGTTGACGGAGTCCAAGGCGAGGAAGGCGACCTCGTTGTAGAGGTAGTAGAAGAGGCCGGACAGCAGGATGGTCGACGACAAGCCCTTCGCCGTGGCGCCAGCCGCGATGGCCGCGTCCCACGCGGGCTTGGCCTTCCTGCCCTCCACCAGCAGCGCCACGGGCGACAGGAAGCAGAACGCGAGCACGGTCAGCACGGCGTAGAGGTTGGCCGGGCTCATGTTCTCCCCGACCGGCTTGCCCATCTGCTTCTTGCCCAGGATGCCGCGCAGCGCGGAGGCCGTGTTGGAGCCCATGGCGTTGCCGAACGCCACCCAGGAGAAGGAGAGCTCCTTGAGGGACGCCAGGGACACTCCCGCGATGATCGGTAGGAGGGACAGGTAGACCGGGGCGGCGAAGGTCTGGCCGAGGAGGGCGGCGGAGAACCCTGCCGTGAAGACGGGCTCGGCAGCCTTGACGATGTGCGTGAAGGAGACCGCGCCGGCGCCCAGGGAGAGCACCGCCGTCACGTGCGCCACCGTGTGCAGAGCCGCCAGCTGGCTGCTCTCCGGAGACGACGTGGAAGCAGCGGGGGGCGGGGGGGGGGGGGGGGGGGGTTT